TTTTTTTCAGGTAGTCTCTTCACCACCATCCTCTTAACAATCCCTCCAATGGCAGATCTCTGCAGTCTTGCTTTCTGGAATCTGAATGCTCTGGGATAACTCTTCAGCTTGATAGTTTTCCCTCCTTTCTTACCACAATGACCATTTTCAATAAAGGGGATTCATTCCTTTGATGCCAATGCCATTCATGCTGCATAACTGGTTTTAAAACATTTTTGGTGTTAGCTCAAATGGATCCAATTTAGTTAGTTTTAAAGCAACTTAAAAGTAGAAATGAAGGAGCTGGGCATGTGGCATATACCTGGAATCCCAGCAACTTGGGAGGCTGAGGCAGGAGGATCACAAGTTTGGGGTGAGCCTTAGCAACTTTGGGAGACTCTATCTCAAAAAACAAAACAAAACAAAACAAAACAAAACAAAACCAAGAACTGGGGATATCTCTCAGTGGCAAAGTGCCCCTGAGTTCAATTCTCAGTACCTACATCCCAACAGAAAAGTAGAAATTAAAAGGAAGAGAGAGAAAATAAAAAATTGATATAAAAAATCTGAAAGACTGTTTTAGACTCAAATGATGAGACAGAATTAAAATAGACTTTGAACAAAGAGGTTCCCTAAAAAATGGTCAATTAAAGCAAGTTAGCCAAGTGGAAAGAGCCAAAAATAAGACCATGGCCTTGTCTATTGTTTCAGATCATTGTAAGATTGCTGTTAAAGCTAGAAGGTTGGAAAGAAAGCAGAGTCAAAGTAGACTTACAGATACTTATTTTGGAAATAATTTTTTTTATGTGTTCTGAGATATGGAACTTAGAGAAAGTAAATAGAACAGAAATTTATTATGGGTTGTAGAGAAGTAAATTGCTAAGAAACTGTGAAGCTGGGATTCAAAAAACTTTTAACTGTTGTATCCTAAAGCAAATTTTGGGCTGACTGTAAAAACTGAGTAACCAAACTGGGCAATCCCAACTGGGTAACCTTAGGCCTTTAAAATGTTCTTGTAGCAGTTTCAGAATTGCTATGGACTATATGTGGTTCCCCAGTTCCAAATCAGGGTTTTAATTTGCTGCTACTGTATCCCTGTGTTACCATCTTGTTTTGGATTGGGTGGGTGGGAGTGTGTGGAGGAAAGTACCTTTTCTTTTCTTTTTTTTTTAAATATTTATTTTTTAGTTGTAGTTGGACACAATACCTTTATTTTATTTATTTTTATGTGGTGCTGAGGATCGAAACCAGGGCCTCGCACATGCTAGGTGAGTGCTCTACTGCTGAGCCACAACCTCAGCCCAATAGCTTTTCTTTTCAGTTCATAGGTCACTGGCTTGCCAGGAGATCTAATAGAAAGTATTGAATTGGCGATCTTGAGCTTTGACCCTGGAGGGAGGAAAAAATGTGGAAGAAAAGTGAAAAGAGAACTTGGTGACTGCAGACTGTTAAAAACTGGTGGGGTTCATCAGTCTTTTCTTTGCCTCCTAGGTGCGGTGCTAGTTGAAAGGAATCATGAGACTGAGTTGTGGCCAATGAAATATGTCTGGAATTGATGTACAGTGCTTGCAGCTTTGATCCTTGTAAGTCTCCCTTAAAATCCTCCTCACTGCAGGGAATCCAGGGGACAACTCTGTGGACTCAGGAACGGCAAAGTCACTAGGTGGAAGGATCCTGGATCCCTGAATGACCATGGGGAATAGAGAGTGATATGAACAGGAAACAAGCCTTTATTGTGTGTTAAATAACCTAGTAAACACATCTTTATCCTGTTGAGATTTTTGTTTCATCTATTATCACAATTAGCCTATTTTGACCAAAAGAGTCATCAAAGTTACGTTCAATGAAACATGCAGAATATTTTTGTTATATCTATTACCCCTCAATTTTCTTTCACCAAGTACACTTGATTTTCCTTATCTGAAGATACCACATTCATGGATTCAAGCAACTGTGAATTGGAAATATTAAAAAGAGATTGCTCTTGTACTGGGTGCACATGGACTCTTTTCCTTGTCATTATTCCCCAAACAATATAGTATAATAACTCTTTAGATAACATGTATATTGCATTAAGTGCTATAAGTAATCTAGAGATGATTTAAAGTATAAAGAAGGATGTGTATGTCTTATGTGTAAATACTGCACCATGTTATCTTAGGGACTTGAACACCCAGGGATTTTGGCATCAAGGGGAAGTTCTGCAATCAATTCCAATGGATACTGAAGGGAAACTGTAGCTGTAGAAGAACTTTGTGCCAAGAAGTTTATTTCTACTTGAGACTGGAACTTAAAAAAATGTCCTGTGTTGTTCTTATCTCCTGAAGTCAATCACAACCAGTATTACTGACTCTCCAACCCCAGATCTCCTACTTACTAGTTGTGTGACCTTCTGTGCATATTAACCTGTCTGCACTTCACTTGTTTTGTCTGTAACCTGGTTATAATGATAGCACTTGTTTTTTGAGAGAATTAAGTGAATTACTCCATGCTTAGTGTTTAACCTGGCAGTTGGCAAACAGTAAGTGCTCAATAAATGTTATCATCATCAACATCATTATCAGGTGCTAGGTATATGCTTGACATTGGAGGAGACAGTGAATGAGCTATCCAAGGTCTAGTTTGCTGTGAGATGTCTGCTTATCTCAGGACTCTTATTTATTTTATTTTTTGATTTTGAACTTTTCCAGTATAGTCTCTATTAAATATTTACCTTTAAGGGAAGGGTTTTGCCTCCCTCTCAACCTACTCTAGAAAATGCTGATTACAGTTGGGGATTTTCTCTGTTTACTTGAGTGTTCTGAGTTAGCATCTGTGTCCCCTTTAGTGGCTTTACTCTGTGACTGCAGTATTCCTTGGTACCCTGTGGCAATTGGAGTGGGAGGAATAGAGTGACATTGACATCTCTCTTGGAGGAGGGAACCTCTTCCTGCCCCTGGCCACCTCCTGCTTGGAGTGACTTCCTGTTGAGAGTCCTTTCTAGAGTGCTGGGGTAAACATGGCTGCCACTGTACTTACCGAAGTATACTTGCCTCCTTTATTCTGTCCCTGTTCCCAAGGACACTGCTAAGCCATCTCGTTTCTGATGGTGTGTGGGCAACATTTGCAAGGCTCAGGAGATTTAGAATCCTTTCCATTCATTATTAGTTTATGAGAATAGAGACTTAATTCACACCAATGATGGGCTTGTCCATCCCCCACACCAGGCATTTAGATGCCTGGTTGACCTATACACCTGAGTTAGTGTCCTTTTGCCCAGGGTGCTGGCATGGGCCATTTTCCTGGCACACGCTCCTCAATGGTGCTAATTAGGCAGGCACACCCACTTGCCTTGGCGTGTTTTATAGATGACCCAAACTGCAAACACCAACATGTATAAAACATATGCTCTCTTCTTTGTGTAATTTCAGATACCAAAATATGCCTACACACAGGGGTACGTGCATACAGACACATGCATATTCTTTTTTTTGCCTGGTAGAAATATGCTTCTGTAATGTTTCTTTTACTCCCACACAGGCCCCTTCGTGGTTGGCACATCTCCTAATTATTCTCATCTACTCCCTCCCCATAGACCTTTTGGATGTATATTTTGGCACTCATTCTTTGGGTTCCACCTAGTTCCTATCTGTCTCTCTTGCTGCCTCCCTCCCTCTCCCTCCTCTTCACAACTTTTTAGACAATTTGTTAAACTATACACTCTTTATTATTAATGTACATTTATGAAAAATTCTTCACAGTTACAAAAGTGCATGGTTATAAAATCATCTCCATACAAAGGTTGGTATCTTCCCTGGAACCTGTTCCCTCCCGATCCCTCCCACCTCCAGATAGCAGCACTTGGGAAAACCGGGAGCTCTGTGGATCCCACTCTCCGACCAGTGCTGTGGCAAATGTGATGGTGATTTACAAAAGGACCTTGCAACTTGCCTCGTTTACTTCCCTTTCACCTCTTTCTGGGGTGGGAAGAGCAGACAAGTCTCCCTAGCTTTGGGAAGATGTCCTTTCAAGGAATGGACAATGGCGTCCCCTGCTCTTCGACCACTGGAATGTCAGGAATGATGCCTACAGAGAACGTGGGGGCTGTCGGTCTGATGGTTGAGGAGAAAGGCCTGTCTCCGTCTGTTTAAATTGTATGTACTTAGCTCCTTGAAAGAGGTCATGAAACTCTCTAGCATCTCTGGGGATCTATTTTTGGCAAGCTTCCTTGGGAATTCTGGCAAGAATGGAAAAGGAGGTGAGAGTTTGTTTGAAGGTCATTGGAGGTGACAGAGTTAGAGTGGCATGGTATGGATGTGGGACCTTCATGGAGGAACAATTTTCTTGGCCCAACCTTGACCATCATAGTTGGTTCATTAAGCTTTGATATCCTCAGGCCCAGCATGACCCTTCATGTAGGTCCGTGATAGAAGAAACAGAGGGAAGCAGGGACAGAGGAGTTAGGTTCTAAGGATGCCTCTACCAGAGTTTTCTAGTATGCTTTTGGAGCAGCCAGATCCACTTCAAAGTTGGTTGGCTCTCCTCTTTGTATACTGAACAATGTAGCAGCCAGATGGGTGAGCAAGCTGTGTCAGAGAGTTAAATCCAAATTCCAGAAGGACCACAAGCATATGTAGGACTGTATAGAAAGACAGACAGACACAGATCTTCTACCTGTCAGCCAGAGTGGAACTGACTGCATCAAACCTTATGGGGACACAATAATGTTTGAGGTCATCAGGGGTGTGGGAATAATTCCAACCAGAATTTGTAGATTATTTCTACAAGTTTAGTTCTGCTGGAACAAGAGGATGGTGGTGGTGGGTGAATTCCTTGCTAGTAGGGAGGTTGATTATTTTCCTCATCGCACTTTAGTTAACTGGGGACCTCCCAGCAGCTGGGGAAGCATGTAGGCAGCTCAGAAAGCTTTACCACTAATGGAGATCAAATTGTCCCATTAGAAAGGACATTTTTTCTCAAGGGACATTTGTTGTCTTGCAAAAGACACCATTAGCACTATACAAAAAAAAAAAAAAAGAGAAAAAAGTACATATCTTAAAATATATTAACTATATTTCAGCAAACCACAGTCCCCAGGAGATTATTATAGATGACTACGGTGTTCCTCTATGAGAAGCTTAACTATTTGGTCATGACCATTACTTCTAAAAGTTCTTCTCCAAATACTTTTCAGCTGTTCTTGACCGAGGAACAACTTAAGTCCACCATCCTTGGCCATAGTGGAAGGAGAGAACAGGACGCAGTTTTGCTTCAGATGTCAGAGGGGCAGGACTCCCTCAGATGGTATAAGTGAGACCCAGATGACACAGGTTCAAGTTCATAGGGACTATTTTGATTTGACTAGCTCAGGGCAGATGCATGGTGGGAGACTTCTTGGAAGATGATATGTCCTCCTTAATCCATTTCAGGGCTACCAAGAGTTTGGGATGATGAAAACCTGCTGGGACTAAGGGCAAGGTAGAAAGCCCCTATGTTCATTTTCACCCTGGCCAGCTGTGCCCACATGTTGGATTGTGCTTTAAAATTTCCCCATTCTGCAAAGGTTCCCACCTATAGTTTTTGCTGCTCTCTTGGTACCTCCTGATATACAATACACCGGGATTTCATTAGGAGTGGATAGTACAGCTTGTTTTCCTGCTTTCCAAAGACCATACTTTTTACACAACAGATCTAATGCTTTATTGGCACTTTGTAAAGCAGGTATCTCCTGTTTAAGTGTTACCTGTGCTACCTGTATACATAAAAGGCTGCGATGTGCTTCACTGTGGAGCATATCTTGATCTGTCCCTTTATTTGACTTGATTTACTAGTGATGGAGACCACGAAGGCCACAAAAACTAGCACGTTCATGACTGCTGAACCCCAGGGCCTCACCTTCCAGACCGCCAAGGTGTTCTCTTTCCCGAGTACCTGGGAGAGCACTGGAGAGAGAACCATATTGGAGTTGAGTCCAACCTTGCCATTTAGGCAAGTCCTACCCATCTTGAGCTTCTGTTTTCCAATCTGCAATATGGGATTATTGGTGTTTGGTTTGCTTCCTGCACAGGGTTGTGAAAAGTCAAGGAGAAAGATGCAAAAGCACTTCCTGAACCATCCAGTGCCGAACTCTCTGGGGGAGATTCATGATGAAGCCGATGAAACTGGTGATTGGATGGAGATGGCGACAGTGACGACGTGAGTTGTGCTTTGCACAGTCACTTGATTTTTTTGATTGACTGATTAGATCTCGTTTCCCTGAACGGGGCTGGCTCTCACCTTCCTTCTAGGGCTTATCCGATAACCGTCGGTAAGTGACTCAGCCATCGACAAGGGATTCATCAGAAGAAGGGAAATAATGACACCCACCAGGCAGTGTTGCTACTGAGAATTGAAATAAATGAGTCAATAGATACGAAAGTTCCCGGAGGAACGCCTGGCCCTTTTAGCCATGTTGTCAGCACAGTTTGAGTTCGAATTCATGTAGCTTTGGAGGGAACTGTGCTCTTCCCCAACTTGGATGGGGCAGCAGCAGGAGCACAGACTTCGTTTTGATCATGAAGTAGCACACGACTTTAACCTCTCTGAGCCTGCATTTCCTCATCTGTAAAATGGGAACAAGGACTGTTCTCCTCCAAAGACCGTTGCGTGTGCTAAAGGGAGCTGTTTGTGGAGAGACCACCACATCGCAGTGCCTAACACTGGTGAGGGCTCAGTAACCAATAGCTCTCCTACCCTAATGCTTCCATGGACGAGTTGCTGAGAAGAAAATACAAACCCTCCTGTGGTCACGACGGTGGTGCCTTTGTCCTCCTTCAGCCCTGGGGGCTGTCATGCTATGGGTCTGTAGCTCACCGTGAACTTTCCTGGTGGGATTCCCTTGGTGTGAGCACCACGGCAAGAACAGTCACAGAATTAGGGTCTCAGGGTGACGGGATTCTTGGTGCCCAGTTCCAGGGCATCCTGCCTTCCTCTTCTGAAACCAAGACGGAGTGAGAGGCAGAAGACAGGTGTAGGAGGACAGGCACTGGGGGTGTCCATCCTTAGCCTGTTGCCCAGGCCTCACTAGCGGGCTGTAGTTGGTGGCATAATATTGGGGGCAGTCCCTGGGAAGTGGTCTCACCTGGTAGCTGCTGGTAGGAGCAGGCCAAGGGGCTGGCATGAGGCATTCTTGCTCCCCAGGGGCAATGGTTGGCAGCAGTGAGAGCAGACAGGTTGGGTGTCAGAGGGAAAGTTTGGGCCCTGTGCCACACCCCTGTGTACGCTAACACCTCAAGGAATGGTCCACTGCTCTCAGTATTCCACAAGTATCCTGACCTCTGTCATCTGCTCATGTCCACCCTTCTTGGTCTACTTGACACAGTGGATACTTTTTGATGACCCATCTCACAAATCAGTCCACTCTTGCAATTCTCCCTGGACTCGGTTGGCTTGTCCTCTGGGCGTCCATAACTATGTGCACAGAGGACTGATGTATTGTCATAAAGGGAAAGTTTCTGGATTTCTCTCCTCTACTCAAAGCTCATGCCTCAAGGGCAGGGACTGAGTTGGAGTCATCTTTACATTCCCACTTCCTAGTACAGTGCCTGGCCCAAAGTGGACAGAGATGCTCACATGAAGTTTTCCAGAACTTGTCTGAACCATGGCTGAGGTGGACAGGGCACAATGGAACCAGAGTGGGCAGCTGGGGAGGGTGACCAGTGGTCAACAGCAGTGGCAGTCGGCAGCATGGAGGGATGACAGGCACCTACGTCAAATCTCTTCCTCTTCGCTGGCCTTGCTCCAGCGGTGGCAGCAGTTGGCTGTGATGCCCAGGAGGAAGTTGGTGGCCACGGAAGCGATGGAGACCACGAAGCCCACAAATGCGATGAAGAGGTAATCGTCCAAGGTCAGAGTCAGGTGGCAAGCCTTGAAGCTCTCCTCGGTGAGTGAGAACAGGGGGGCACCCTCCACTTCAGGGGGACCCCGACATTCAGCCAGCTGAGAATCTGCAAAACAGAACCCAGGGAGGGTGAGGCTCCTGGGGGGGGGGGGAGAATGGATTGCAGAGATCCCACCCCTCCCAGGACAAAGGAAGCCATCGCGTTTCTTCCATGTGCCAAATAATCTGCCTATCTTCTTTGGTCTCCTTAACAATCCTCAAGACATTTTCATACCTATTTGTATTGATGTGAAAGACCACTGCTTGGAGAGTTTAGTGATTTGTCAAAAGTGCTGTAGGTGCTCTTGATGCAGAGCTGGGCTTTCGTCGGGTAGCTGGTCTCTTACAGTAGCCTCCACTCGTCTCTGTCTCTACACACTCAGAGGAGTGATGCTTTGTCATGTCACTCTCTGCCTAAACCTTCCTTCCCCTGGCTTCCCAGCTTCGCACAGAGCTTCTATTCTGCTTCTTATTCACTCTGCTCGGGCTGCATGTGCCTCTGATTGTTATTCCACAACCCCAAGCATGTCCCCTTAACTTTGTATTTGTCTCTGTACGGGATTTTTCTCCGGGGTCTTGACTCAGCTCAGTCCCTACGCTTCCTCTGGGACTTTGCTTGATACCACCTTAGTGGTGTAGCCTTAGGGTTCTGTATAAATAGCAACTCTATATTCCCCTAGACTCCCTGTCGCACCTCTTGATTTTTTCCCAGGCTATTTTTCACTGTCTGACAGCTTGTTTATTGCCTTTCCCTCCTCCTTGAATATAAGCCCCTCCTGTAGTGTCCTCAGCTTCTGAATAGTGTCCCCACCATAGAAAGCGCTCAATAAATCCTTGTGAAATGATGGCAGGGCTCTGTCCAATTACAAGGCCTTGGGTCCTTCTACTAATCTCTGTGGCTTTTCCAGATACACAGAATACATGGTTAGGAGTACAGGCTCTGGAGATGTCAGCCTGGCTTCAAATCCCCTCTTCACCTCTCATCAGTTGTGTGATGGTGGTAAGTTACTTAACCCCTCTGTATCCTGGTTTCAATTGTCAAGAGAGGATATTAAATGTATCTACCTCCTGGGGTTGTAAGTGAGGATTCAGTGAATTAGCATAGACAAACGGTACATTCCTTGTATACAGTAAGCTCTATGAAAGTGAGAGCTTTTTAAATGATTGAAGATTGGTGTCTCTTAGGGGTCCTGGGGGTCATATTCTGCATTCAGGAGCGGCTGCTCCTTCTGTGGGATTACTATTCTCTCCAGCCTTGAAGGTCCTGCCTCCTCCTTCCAGGGTCACTTTTATAAATGCATGATGATTGTCAATGGTCTTATCTCACTCTGCCTTAGAAGTAAGAGTGGCAGGCAAGGTCTGCTGTGCTGTGCAGTGCTCAGCCTCAGCTTCAGAGCAGCTGGACATGCTTTTGTTCAAGGGATAAATATTAACTGAGTTCTTACCTTGGGCAAGTTTTTCCCCCTTTTCTGGCTCTCATGTCCTGCCTCTATAAGAGGCATGAAGTTTCCTTGATTTTTCTGAGAGTCAATGCGAAAAAGTTTTTTTTTTTTTTAAATTATAGGGTGTTTAAATTATAGGGTGTATAAATGTTTTGCTTTCATCCTGCAGTTTTTGAGGGCAGAGAACAAAATGATGGACTCAGATTGATCCTTCTGACATATGGATGTGCACCATTATCCTTAGAAATAGGAGATCAGGTTTGGGTGGAGAAGGAAAGCTTCCCCACACCCCAGATTGAGTCATTCCTGTAGTCTGTTTGCACGGGACTCCAGACCTTGCCCAGGTCAGGATTGGGTCTGGAGTTGATCTGCAAAGAAGCTCTTTTCTGGAAACGGGAAGATGCTGAACCCAAAGTCTATTGGGTCCATGATGGTATAGTAATACTGAGACAAGAAGAACTGGGGGAGGAAGACCAGCTGGAGAAGACTCCCAGGGTAACCAGTAAACTACACAGGATGCGGGTCAGGGGGGCTGGGGGCTGACAAAGCTCTTCATTAAGTCAAGGGACCAATCTTGAAGTCAGATTGTATCCCAATAACTCCCCTACATCTTCTGTTTAAATTTTTCCAAACAAAAAACATGGATCATAGTGAAAAATCCCATAAAGAAAAAGGGAGAAAGTAATAGAAAAAGACTTAAAGGGAGATATCCCTCGTTCTACCTGTCCTGGCAAGGTTTTGCTCCCAAGAGGAGACCTGGTGGGAGTGGCGTGCTGTATGCGTGTTCTGTGGAGGATCAGGAGGTCTGGGTTTCAAGCCGTGGCCTGTTTATTTCCTCACTGTGGATCTGTGTCACTGTTCCCTTTATGGAGCTTCGGTCCCTCCCCTGTACCACTGTGTGGGGCTACACGGAGGAGATCTTGGAGCTCTCTCCTGCTTGTTGGGAGTTTGGACTTCTTTAGGGAAACAGGGGCTTCCGAGATCCCAGTAAAAGAGGAGTTCCCAGCCCCGTGGAAGCTGAGCACCCCAAGGGCCCCTTCTGTCGTAGTTTGCAGGAGAGAGAGGGAAGGCAGAGGTTGAGCTGGCGGGAAGATGACTCCAGGCAGGTGCCCCTCCTGCCCCCATCAGCCCCCGGTCTCAGTCCCAGCTATTTCCATCCGGGAGAACTTCCTCCCACAGCTCTGTGGAAACACTGGAATCGTGACCTGCACCCCCGCCCCCACACCATTTTGGTCTTGGGCTCTTGAGGAGTCCTCCTCTTCCTCCTACCTCATTTAGCTTCACTTCCCCCAAATATGCAGAGCCCAGATTCTGGGAAGGATCCTGGGATGGGGCCCAAGTGATTCTTGTCATCCGGCTGCTGGGCGCCTGGGCTTAGGCTCGGGGCTGTCACACAGGAGAGCTGGAGGCTGAGGCCACTGTTGAACTTTTCCTGCCTCTGGGCCAGGCTTGGACACCACTGGGTGACACCAGGACCCATCAAACCTGCATGCCTGGGCTCCTTCCAGGCTCCAATCCACTCTCCGGTTGGGACTGATGGGTTAAATTGCCACATCTCAGCTCCTTCCCCAGGCCTCATGCCCAAACCTCCGCTGAGGACCCTTGACCAGTCCAGAACTTGGGCTCTGTTAGTCCAGAATCTGACTCTTGGGATTGGGCCAGAGGACAGCTAGACTTTCAGGGTCAGAATCCTGATTTCAACACTTAGGAACTGTGTAACTTTGAGCAAGCAAATGAACCTCTCTGTGTCTTGGTTTCCTCCTGTCCTCCTTGGTTTCCTCCTTTCCTCACTAGGGCTCACGGGAAGATAGGAGAAGCTCAAACATGTAACATATTTGAATAGGGACTGGCAGACAGTAAGTATTCAAATAAATAGTGTTGGTCATGGCTGTTTCTTAGGATTTTCCCAGCACTCCCAACTTAAAAAACAGCCTGGTCCAGTAGTAGGCTTAGAAGTTAGGGAAAACTGAGTTTTATCTAGGGCCCTACCACTTTCTAAATGAGCAACTCTGGGCAAGCCTCTTCATTGTTCTAAATCAGTTTCTTCACCTGTAAAATGGGGATCATAAAAAAAAAGGGTTTGGAAGAGATGCTGTAGGCCAAATTCTTAAATCACGGTGAAAACCCCCTAAATGTCATCTGCACTCAGTTATGCCCCCTTGTTTACTCTCTGTCTGCCTCATTAGGTAGTAGCTGCCACAGAGGCGAGGGGCCTTCTATTTCATGAGGGGATGGGTCCCCAGCACTTCTCATGCTCTCCAAGAATTCAACAAAAAAACTTGTGGACAGAAAGAGCACATGCCCAAGAGGCAAGCAGGGACCAGGGCACACACAAGACACTCCCCACGGTGGCCCTGTCTGGCCAAGTCCCTTACCGGCAGTACAGCGCTGGATCCGGTTCCGCAGCCACTTCAGCAAGGGTTCCATGGTGCAGCCACACACCCAGGGGTTGCCCCCAATCTGCAGGGTCACCAGCCCCGGCAGGCCCTCGAGAGCCTCGAGGCTGAGGAAGGCCAGGCCCCCGTAGCTGAGGTCCAGGTCTCGGAGCTGCACCAGGCCCTGGAAGGCCTGGGGGTGGACTCTGCGCAGCCACGGGTTGTGGCTCAGGTCGATGTGCACCAGCCCGTGGGCCTCCCGGAACATGTCAGCGGGCACATGGCTGAGGTTGTTGTAGCTCAGATCTAGGTGTGCCAAGCGCTTGGCATGGAGGAAGAGGCCCGGGGGCAGCTCCATCAGAGAGTTGTTGCGCAAATCCAGCACCCGGAGCTCCATGTAGCATGTGAGATAGCCAGGCGGCACGGCCGAGATCCGGTTGTGGGCCAGGCTCAGGTTGCGCGTGTCCCTCGGCAGATCTGGGGGCACAGAGAATAGCCGCTGGCTGCTGCAGTCCACAACTTGGTTATGGCATGTGCAAAGGACCGGGCAGCTGGATCCCGCATCTGAGCGCATCACTCCAGTTGCCAAAAGGAGGGAGACCAGCAGCATGGCTGGTTGGGGAGGTCCAGGCCAAGGAAGCTGGGCCCAGGTGTCACCCATCTTGGGTAGCTGGCAGCGGCAGTGCCGAAGGGAGCCCATCAGGCTGGTGTCCGTGGATCCCACAGTCAGTGTGCAGGACGGCGGCTACATCAGAGGCCTGGGTCCTGAGAGTGGGGCGTCTGAGCACATGGTATCATGGCCCAAACGTCTCCTGGGGACCTCTAAGCACCAAAGGACTTCCCAAGAGCCACAGGAAGTCCCCTTTGGAGCCTAGGGGGCAAGAAACCCAGCCAAGGTCCCCCAGGGTCTGAAAAGATGATCAAAACTGGAGAAAGAAAGGAGAGCAGGATGGAGCTGGAGCTGCTGTCAGCAGGTACTGGGAGGGTCCCTGCAGGTCTTTTGTGCCCCTCTCACCCATGTCTGTGGGGTGCTTCCTCTTGGTGCTAGGTCTGAGAGGTGGGAGGGAGGGCGAGGGAGAGATGAAAGGTGCCCTTTAAAGGTCCTGGCACTTCTTCTAAGGAAACCTCAGCCCTGTCTGGGTCTGAGACTGATTAGGAAGTCAGAGCTGCACCTGGGCCTCCAGCATTTGATGTCTCAGAGGTCGTTTCTTCTGTGGTCCAGCAGGGTGGAGTTCCAGGAGGTCCTGGGGTAGGAGCTTCGGGAAGGGAGCCCAGGAGGAAGCAGGATTCCATGGGCCTTCTGAAAGTCTGAATCTCTAGCCTCAGTGGCTGCTGGAATCCCCAGGGATGCTCTTTGTTCCTCATGGTGAGGAGGATCCCAAACAACACCCATGGCCCAGGTCACCAGAGCTGGAAAGAGCCATGGGTACTAGAGGTACACGACTAGGCGTCAGCTAGGAGAGCTTTGGCTCCTTCTCCAAGCTGGTGCCTCCTCGTGGTTCCGCATTCAGCAGGTGGAGGCAGAATCCACTCTGTCAACAAGGAGAGCACTCAGGCAGAGAAACAGGGCCCTCCAAGCTAGTCCCCCATCCTTTGCCCTTGTCCTACCTCACCCATCCCCTTCTCTCTTCTTTGACCCCCCCCCCCAGCCGTAAAGTTCTCTATTTACTCTCTTTCAGCTGTGGATGGTGGTGAACTCAGAGCCCAGCCTCACATTGGAGTCACCCACTAACTTTCCCCACCCGACCTCCAGCCACCCTCCTGCCTGTCCAGGGCTGGATGCATTTCTTTTCCTGCTCACAACTCCGCCCCCATCAGCATCAAACACCCCACCCTTGAACAACTCCCTGAGAAAACATGCATCCACATTGTGGTTGTTTGCACACCCCTTTCAAACACTTTTAACACCGTTCTCCTTTCTCTCTCTCTCTCTCCCTCTCTCTCTCTCTCTCTCTCTCTCTCTCTCTCT